AAAACCGGATGTAAACATGTACATCGGTGTTGCATTGCAAAGACACATAGAGAAAACATCCAAGATACATTGTTCCAATATTGACATTAATATAAAAAGGTTAAGAATTGCACTATAAAGAGATTAATCTTTACTCAAGACATTTTATTTTTACTCGAGTGACAAAATGCCCAATTCTGGAAACGGCCTCGTTATTGCCAACATGTGCCTCGGGTAAGCTTCCCGTGCGTTCGGGTGCATTCAGCAAACGGACACACTTGATCGCCATGTTCGTTAGGAGACAGGAGTGAGAGGGTTAGAAGAAAAAGATATACAGTGCAACAGTGCTCGACGAGACATTCTGTGTGTCAGATAATTGATTACAGCACCATATATTTGTTGGTTATACATACTATCTTTGAATTGTTTTGCACCAGCAGTCAGTGCAACAACACTGCAAAAAGTTAATAGGTAAGAAACCTATCAACCTTTTATAAAAAACGCCGTGATTTATATTTATTTATTTTTGCAGCCTTGTGATGGAGAATCAAAAAAATAAAAAAGCAAGATTGAGTGATAAAGGAAGTGGAAGTAGCAGTGGCCGACCCTTTCAAGACATATGGACTGAGATGTACGGGATTGTCGACAGAAACAACAGATTATTGTGCATACTGTGTAATGAAACGGTAGTAAGCAGAACGTGGAATGTAAAGAGACATTTTGAAACTAATCATTGCCAGCTCTTGAAAAAAAGTACCGATGAAAGGAAGGAATACATTTCTAGGCAGCTACACCTCTATAAAAGTCAATCAAATTCCATCATTAAATTTGTAAGATGCTTTACAAATTTAACATCAGCAAGTTACTGTATTGCTCACTCCATAGCTCAGCATGGAAAAGCCCTCAGTGACGGAGAATTTATTAAGGAAACATTTCTAAGATGTGCACCAGCTCTATTTCACGATATAAAAAATAAAGGTATTATTAAAAGAATTTCTGAGTTACCACTCAGTAGAAATACTATCAAAGACAGAATAATAGATCTTAACAAAAACGTACGTCAATTAAAAAAAGACTTAAATAGTTGTAAATATTTTTCGATTTCTCTTGATGAAACTACTGATGTCACATCAAATGTTTGGTTGGCCATTATTGCTAGATATTCTGATGGTCTCACAATGAGAGAAGAGTTGATAAAGTTAGAATCAGTGCCAATAAGTACATCAGAAAACGAAATATGTAAGGTTGTTATAAAAACATTCAGTGGCCTAAACATTGATATCTCTAAAATTGTATCAGTCACGACAGATCCAAATATGGTGGGAAAAAATGTGGGATTCCTGAAATTGTTTATGGAAGCAATTAGACATCCACTTGTACCTTTTCATTGCATTATCCATCAGGAGGTGTTGTGTGCCAAATCGGGATTCTCAGAATTGAATGATTTAATGTCAGTTGTAACAAAAATTGTGAATTTTATAGCTTCTCGACCCCTTCACAAGCGAGAATTTTCTGTACTTTTACAGGAAGTTGATTCAACCTACAGTGGACTACTGATGTTCAATAATGTGAGATGGCTGAGTCGAGGTAAAGTACCTGAGCGATTTGTGGAGTGCTTTGAAGAAATTACGGTAGTTATTGAGAAGAAGGATCTGGCAAACTTTCCTCAGATCAATGATCATAAGTGGGTCAGCAATTTGATGTTTTTTACAGATCTCTCTGTTCATATGAATGAACTGAACTTAAAATTACAAGGTTTTGGCAAAAGTATTGACGTTATGTTTGGATACATCAAATCTTTTGAAAGTAAACTTAAAATTTTCAAGTGAGCCGAAACCGGTTTGGCTCAGTGGATAGAGCATCGGCCTGCGGACTGAAAGGTCCCAGGTTCGATTCCGGTCAAGGGCATGTACCTTGGTTGCGGGCACATCCCCAGTAGGAGATGTGCAGGAGGCAGCTGATCGATGTTTCTCTCTCATCGATGTTTCTAACTATCTCTCTCCCTTCCTCTCTGTAAAAAATCAATAAAATATAAAAAAAAAAAAAATAAATAAAAAAAAAAATAAAAAATCAATAAAATATATTTTAAAAAAAAATTTTCAAGTGAGATATTGAAACTAAAACTTATAAGTATTTTCCTTGGATAAAAAAGTATTTCGAGAAGGCCACTACAACGAGTGTAATGGAGTCCATACTTATGTACCAGAATATAGTAAACTCATTATTTGAACAGTTCAGCGAAAGATTCGACCAATTTAGAAGCCTAGAACAGACCATTAAAATAATTAAGTATCCGGATGTAGTTGTTTACAATACTTTGGAATTAAAGGATTTCCAATGGATGCAAATGGACAATTTAGAGATGCAACTTGCAGATTTTCAAGGTAGCATTTGGACTCATGTGTTTGTCGACTTAAGGTCGAAACTTGAAAATCTGGAACGAAATCATTTGAATAATGAAGAAGAGTGCAACTACGAACAAGAAATTTTGAGTGCTTGGAACAGAGTACCTGACACTTTTAGCGACATAAAAAAATCGAGCGATGGCTTTGCTAACAATTTTTTCATCAACATATTTTTGTGAGACTTTGTTCTCAGCATTAAATAATATTAAAACGAACAAAAGAAACCGGCTAACAGATGAAGTTACTGGCGCGTGCTTGGCCTTGAAGTTCACCAAGTATGAACCTGCAATCGAAGAATTAGCAGACAAACTTCAGCACCGAAAAAGTCACTAATTTCTAGTTTTCATACCATTTGATTATCATTGTTTTTATTATTATTTTTTCCTAAATGTACATTGTTTTTCTGTTTTTGTTCATTTTATACATATTTTTTGGTTGATTTTTCTTCGATAAATGGCATTTAAATATATAAAATAAATATCAAAAATATAAATCTTTTTTTTTTACTATGGTTGCAAATATCAAAAAAAAAAATTATGAATATTTCTATATGTGACACAGCACCAGAGTTAAGTTAGGGTTTTTCAAAATTTTCACACGCCAAGTTCAAAAGGTTCGCCACCACTGGTCTAGTGGCCAGTGTGCAACTGCTCAGATAATTACTGTGGGTACAGAGACTATTAGAGGTGCGACTATGTGGAAAAGGTATCTATTCACCACCCATGTACGGCTGCCTGATTGAGATACTGTTATGAAGGACTGTCTTGTCTAATGGTTTATGGCCACTGGCTTCTGCAATAAAAACTCATTCTTACACACCCACAACCTCTCATTGCTTCTCTAAGACCTGATGTCCAAGGAGGTCCAGCCCTAGGCAGAGGCGGTCAGACCCAACAACTGCATCTAGTGGATGGAAGATAAAAGAGGAACCTGGACTCAAGTTCCCAATAGTTCATACAGTGGGCAGGGTTCGAGAAGGAACCTGCCCTGGCATAGTGGGGAAGAATTTAGAAGAATATATGGATTCAGAGCAACTCAGAGCACCAGAGCTGAGCAGTGCTCTTGCTGTCTATGACAGAGACTTACACATTTTAAACGGCGTTACACAGATTTCCAAGTCACAAACACTAAGAATGATCAGATATAGTAACGTTAGGAAAGCAAATTATTCTGTTTTTTAAAAAATATTTTTTAAAATTGGTATCAGGGAGTAATGGGGGGAGAGGGAGGGAGAGAAAGAGAAAGAGAGAAAGAGAGAGAGAGAGAGAGAGAGAGAGAAAGAGAGAGAGAGAGAGAGAGAGAGAGAGGAACATCAATGATGAGAGAATCAGCTGCCTCTTGTATGCCCCCCAATGGGGGTCAAGCCCACAATCCAGGCATGTGCCCTGACCAGGAATTGAACTGTGTCCTGGTTCATAGGTCAATGCTCAATCACTGAGCCATGACGGCTAGGCTCATTGTATTTGTAAAGGAGGGACTGACATAAGCTTTGTGAAATATAAGACTTAGTGCTCCTCTCAGAACATAACCAGGTGAGGCCCTAAACAATAAAACCATTATATGAAGTAGAACTTTGAATTCTCAAACCATTGTTTGTCTGTGTATATCTATAAATTAAAATAAATTCAAAATAACTAAACAAAACTTATCTCCCTTTCAGGCTGCTATTCTTATTAGGCTCAGCAATTTGTCCCAAGAGAATGTAAAACCTATCACCAACATAACCGATGATTACCTATATATTCCCACTTTTCACTGGTTACAGATAATAGCTGTACTCCAGTTACTTCTACAGAAATATAACCTCTTGATAAAATATGAGAAGGAATCCAGGTGTACTAAGAATAGCCACTCACAAATATCCTTATGGCAGGAGGATATAGTCTTTTGGAAGCAGCCACGTTTGACTCAATTAAAAAACAAGAGTGCTGTGGGGAAGCTAGTGATCATAATTCCACCTTTTTAAAAAAGATTTTTTAATTGATTTTTTTAGAGCGAAGAGGAGAGAGAGAGAGAAACATCCATTGGCTGCCTCCTGCATGCCCCCTACGGGGATGGAGCCCACAATCCAGGCATGTGCTCTGACTGGGAATCGAACTGGCAACCGCTCAACCAACTGAGCAACACCAGCCAGTTAATGAAGGGATTTGGGGGGAAGGGGACAGCCAAAATATATTAATATGCTTCATTTGTGCTATAGAAATAAAAATGTTTAACATCGCTAAATGATGAAAGTAAAATAAGTGTGGTGAAAGCATCTTTTATGATAATGCTTATAAAAAAAGTTAAATATATAAAAAATTACTTTTCCTATAACTTAATCTTTATTTTTAAAATAAAAATTCTAAAGGTACCGTCTCCTATGCTCTGCAGAAATTATCATGATTACATAAATCACTTCCTTGAAGAAAAATAACATCAAAAATCTACTTCAACCATTTTCATTAGGTATTGAATCTTAAGGGAGTATGAAAATACTTACACTTAAAGGAAATTTTCAGTGTAACTATACTGGCAGCACTTACTAGTTACTACATTTGTTACCTAATGCTATTAGGCATTACTATGTCAATAGAGCCTAACTCATCAATATCAAAGTAAGATTTCTTCACTTACCCTTGCATAGTGGAATTCAACTCCATAGAGTTCTAAGGTACGTGCTGTGTTCAGGTAATTAAATTCTGCTTCTGCAGGAGATAAGCCTCTGTAAAGACATCATTAGGTTAAAAATTAAATCAATCACAAATATGGCCAAATTGAAAAGGCTATTTATCTGGACATTTTTCAGCATCCCAATTAAATCTTTTACAAAACACCATGCATGACCGCTCCTCTTAGTTATGTACAGTAACATCTAACTTATCTGGAGGGTACATTTTCAGTAACACAAATTATTATTTTGTACAATATTTTCTCATTTTTGAAAAATATAAGAATTCATTAAGTTTTAAAAGTTCACAGCTGCTCCTATGGCTGTTAGAAAGCCACTCATTCCCAGACATAACTTAGTGTGTTTGTGTACATCTGCATTTAAATTACAGACTGCTTCTGAAACACAGATTCTGAGACAAACTCTTGGGCAGTGTTTCTCAGAGAATGGTGCACAGACAGGCATTGATTCATAACAAATATGGAAACTGAGAGAATCAGAGTTTTATAGAATTTTGGTGGAGTAATTTCATGTCTGTTGAATCTAACAAAAAAATGGCTTGTAATTTTTTGTGTTTATTTCTCCTTTTTACTTTTCTATTAATTAATTTTTATTATATACTAGAAGCCCAATGCACGAAATTCATGCAAGAGTAGGCCTTCCTCCCCCCGGCTGCCGGCACCAGCACCGGCTTCCCTCTGGCACCCGGGACCTGGGCTTCTCTCTAGCCGCCAGCAGGCACCCAGGACCCGGGCAGCCCCAGCTTCGTCCGGAAGGTCGCCTGGAAGAACGTCAGTCTAATTAGCATATTATGCTTTTATTATTATAGAAGATTTTAGAAGTATTGTTCCATGACAGAGTAGAGAAAAATTAGTCTTTCACAACAGATAGTAAACATCCCTGTGATTCTTATAAACACAAGTTTTAGAACTATAATTTTAAATGCCTTTAAAAACTGACTTACCTCTATATTATATATACTGTTCTAACAACCTTAGTTATCTGTTGTTATCAGACTATAGCAGAGCAAGAGCAGCAAATTACAAAAACAAAGATATAAGCCTCTCATTCACTACTGATACTAAAAAAGGACCAACAGCCTGCCAATTTATGATAAAAATGAGATTCCTCAAAAAAAGCAGATATATTTCAGATCTGTCTACAATTCAATTAAGCTAAATATTCTATCTTTCCCACACCATCCCCAGTTAAACTAGATGATTCTATTTTTTTCTTTGTTTAAAGAGTTGAAGAATCATTTCTTTAAACCAAACAGAAATATATAATTAATACCTTGTTAAATTTATAATCTTTTTCCTTGCAGGAGACTTTTCATTATTGGTAAATTTTTTATAAATTGGGTTTATCTTCAAATCCTTGATTTGGATATGCTATGTATAGAACTTTCATTATAAATGGCATTTACTTTTAGACCAAAATAGCTCCCTTACCACATTAGGCCAGTCTTAATATTCTCATTCAGGAGTCTTATTTTAGATTAGGGTCAGCAAACTTTTACTGGAAAGAGCTAGCTTTCATGCCATATGGTCTCTGTTGCAACTACTAAACACTGCTGTTATGTGAAAGCAACCACAGACAACATGTAGACGAATGAGGGAATCTGTGTTCCAGGAAGTGCTCATTTATGGACACAAATTAGGATTTCTCAATATGTCATGTGCCACAAAATGTTATTATTTTAAAATTTTTTTCCCAACCATTTAAACCATACAAACCATTCTTATCCCATGGGACATAAAAAATAGGCAGTGGGCTATAGTTTGCCAATGTGTATTAAATAAATAAGGCCATTACCAAATAAAAGTTTCTTTAATAGTCAGAGCTAACTCTGACTGGTGTGACTAAGTTGGTTGGAGCATCATTCTATACACTGAAAGGTCTTGCACATCATCCCAGTCAGGGCACATACCTAGGTTGTGAGTTTGATCTCCAGTTGGGGCATGTATGAGAGGCAACCAATCGACATTTCTCTCTCACATCAATGTTTCTCTCTCTCTCTCTCTAAAAATCAATTAAATAAAATGATAATAATTACTATTATTAGTGAGAAAAAATAATAAATATAATAATAACTAATATTTCTTCAGTGCTTACTATGTGCTAGGCGCTGTCTTGAATACTTTATGTATAAACTTACTTAATCCCTACAATAACTTCAGAGGTAGGTAACTTTTATTATTCCCAATTTACATATGAGGAAACAGAGACACAGAACCATCTGGCTAAGGTTACATGATAGTATGGAACCTTACCAGAATTCCAATCCAGACATTCTGGCTTGAGTTCACACTCTCAGCCAATATGCAACACCACCTTAACTTCTACATGAGTAATTTGAATGGTATGTTAAAGCCAAACTGATCTCTGACCCAATAAACAATATTACCTTCTATTCAAAACAATAGCTCTCTTCTTGAAAAAGATTATGTAACAGAATATTAGACATAAAATATCAAAGTTGAATACTGTAATGAGTGAAAAATTGCTACTATCTTTAAAGGGCTATTTTTTTTATTAATTAAGTACTATATAAAGTTCCTTTTCTCCTCTTGGCTCATTATTACTAAAAAAAAAAAGTCCCTTCACACAGCTAAAAACGGAAAAAGAATTGGTAAGTAGACTGTGAACATATAATTAATATTCTAAAATTCCTGGCAACTTTATATAATAAAAATCACCTTAATATATTTATATAAAATATAAAACTTTATTTAATGAAAAGATTATAGCCTATCTGGTGTGGTTAGTGGTTAGTGGTTAGTGCGAGGCCCTGCACACTGAAGGGTTGCAGGTTCGATTCCTGGTCAAGGGCATGTGCCTGGATTGTGGGTTTGCGCTCCACTCCCTGTCAGGGTGCATGCAACCAGTTGACATGTCTCAAATCAACGTATTTTTTCCTCCCTCCCTCCTTTCCACTATCTCTGAACAGCACTGGAAAAAATATCCTCAGGTGAAGGTAAAAAAAAGTTTATATAATGAAAACTAGCAATCTACACTAATAAAAGAGAAACATGGTAATTGGCGTACGACCGCTACCCTTCCCATTGGCTAATTAGCGAGATATGCTCTGCTCAGCCACAAGCCAGGCTGACAGCTGCCAGCACAGCGGTGGTGGCGGGAGCCTCTCCCGCCTCCTCAGCAGTGCTAAGGATGTCCGACTGCAGCTTAGGCCTGCTCCCCGCTGGCAAGTGGACATCCCCTGAGGGCTCCCGGGCTGCCAGAGGAATGTCTGACTGCCAGCTTAGTCCGATCCCCCGGGAAGCAGGCCTAAGCCAGCAGGTGGACATTCCCCGAGGGGTCCCAGACTGTGAGAAGGCACAGGCTGGGCAGAGGGACCCCCCTGAGAGCACAAATTTTTGTGCACCAGGCCACTAGTTTTATATAATAGCAAATAAATTTCTGTTTACATATACCTTTATAGTTCTTAGTAAAAATGAAAACAAGTCTCATATGAAATAAGCAATGGTTTTTCTTTTAAATAGATCAGCTACATTTCTTTATAACAATTATACTATTTTATATAATAGTAACTGTTCTACATTAAGTAAATATAACAATTACATTTAAAAAGTTTAAAACATTTCTCTAGAAAAGATGCCATTAAGAAATTTACCACCTTAGCTGGTTGCTCAGTGGTTAGAGCACTGGCTCTCGGATTCAATTTCAGTCAAAGGCTCAAACCCTGACCCCGTCAGGGCTTGTGCGGTATGCAAGCAATCGATGTCTCTCTCTCTCACATTGATGTTTCTCTCTCTGTCTCCCTCTTCCTTCCACTCTTTCTAAAAATATCCTCGGGTGAAGATTAACCCGCCAAAAAAGTTTACCAAATAAGCAGAAAAGTAAATAAATCCTTACGTATGTTGCTGATGTAATTTTGCAATTTCTTTTTCAAACTCTTGAGGTTGATTAGGAATGAAAGAATAATCTGAGAGGTAGCCTGGCAAGTTTTCTGACTGGTTGTAGTCTCCAAATTCAGCTAATAAATGAAAGAAAAATATTCACTTTAATAAACATATTTTTTAATGTTTATAGCCAAATCTGCAAAGTCATGAATTACATTATATTTCTGGAAGTAAAATATTTATATTTCTACTGTTACCATCTAAACAAGTTATAACAATGCATATAACATTCTTCTAGATTTAAAACACCTTGAGAATTTTTTTCTGGAATTGAAGTAATTGCTAACTAACTGGAAGTGTCATTACATTTCCTTTGCAGTCACTTTCTTCTGCACAGCAACTTATGTCTAAAGAACTTATACATTAAATGCAATGTACTATTAATACAGACCATCTTAATATATAAAAACCCAGGGCCCGTAACATCCAAAACGATCAAAGGCTCGACCGACCAGAAGTCAGTGCTGGGTTGCCATGGGGACCCAGCACTGACTGCCGTCGCTGTAGGCACCCCGACACAGCACTGACTGCCGAGGGGGCTGTGGATCAGTCCCGAAGAGAGGACTGGAGAGAAAAGCAGGGATTGATCCGTAGTCTCCGTGGCAGTTGTTGATCAGCAGTTGCCTCTCTTTCTCTTGGGCCTCTGCAGATCAGCCCCGCCTCTCTGATCAGGTCTGTTGATAGGCCCGGAGATGCTAATTGGCATAGAAACTGACCAATCAGAACCAAATCTGGGTAAAGTGTGAGGAGCCAATGGCTGCCTAGAAGGCGGAGCTTTTGATGCTGACTGGCATAGAAACTGACCAATCAGAACCTAATCAGGGTGAACTGTGAAGGCAGAACCTAAGGTGGGGGCTAAGGAGGGGTTTTAAGGGCAACAGCTGTTTGGTGTAAGGTAAGAAAACAGTTCAATTTTTTAATGACCAGTTTGGCAGTATAATGCATATGGCTCGCTATCAGTCCAGATATAGGGATTATGTATTTTTGTCTGCCAAGAGCATCTCCTCCTAATGAAAAAGGCTTTTCCCCCCATTTAAGCAATCCTATCCTATATAATCTATCTATGCCACTAAAAGGGTAATACTGTAATTAGACCAGGTCAACCGGACATCTTCCAGACGTCCGACTTCCTTCCGGACAAAGCCATGGTGGTGGTGGCTGAGGCAGAGGCCGTTAGGGGTGATTAGGCTGGCAGGGTAGGACAGTTGGGGGCAAGATCAGGCCGGTAGGGGAGGGCCATTGCGGATGATCAGGCAGGCAGAGGCAGTTAGGGGCGAGATCAGGCCAGTAGTGGAGGGCAGTTGGGGCGAGATCAGGTTGGCAGGGGAGGGCAGTTAGAGGATATCAGGCAAGCAGGCAGAGGCAGTTAGGGGCGATCAGGCAGGCAGGCAGGCAGAGGGGTTAGGGGCAATCAGGAAGGCAGGCAGAGGCAGTTAGGGGTGGTCAGGCAAGTGAGCGGTTAGGATCCAGCAGTCCCAGATTGCGAGAGGGATGTCCGACCGCCGGTTTAGGCCCCACAGGGATCAGGCCTAAATTGGGGGTCGGACATCCCCAAGGGGTCCCCGATAGAAGAGGATGCAGGCTGGGCTGAGGGAACCCCCCTCCCGTGCATGAATTTCGTGCATTGGGCCACTAGTCTATATATATAAAAACCCAGCGACCATTACAGCGGCATGACCAGGACAACCAGAACATCCGGTGGCTATGATACACACTGTGGCAGCCAACCAGCCTGATCTGGGCCAGATCGCCCCCAATACCCTGATCAGGGCAGGGCCAGCCGGCCAACTGCCTTGGCTGGCAGAAATATGGAGTCCAGGGACCTTGGAGGTGCTCAGTCTCAGACAGCCACGCGGGCAAAGTTCTCCTTTGGTGGAAGTGGACCTGGGATTAGGGTGCCGGAATCAGGGATGGGGTGGGGAGGCTTTCCTGGTGACCACAGAAGTCCCCGCAGGACGAGCACAGCACCCAGGCGCTGGCCCCGGTCTGAGCAGCGGCAGGAATAGGGGCCACGGGGCGACAGCACATAGGAACCAGGAGGCGCAAGGCCCAACGTGGGCTCTTACCCCGCCTGCTGGGCCGAGCAGCACCAGCAGGTGGGCCATGGTGTGCAGTGAGGCGCTTGGCTGCCAACCGGAGGGGAAGAGAGCCAGGAGGGCAATGCTCAGTGCCAGCCAGAGCCCCGAGTGGTGTGGGCAGGGCCCGAGCTGGAAACTCTGGCAGAGTGGGCGGGGCTGCAGCCCCAATGCCTTTTCAGCCTTGGCCTTGGAATTCTGTGGGGAATCACTGTACTGGCTACCAGCGCGTCAGATGTCAACCCTGCTTCAAGAGAGAGGACATAGCAGAAAGTGGCAAGGCCACAGGAGAAATGGGAAATGTTGTTGCCATTTTCGGGAAACACAGCTGCCACAGTCTTCAGTAAATATGAACAGATAATCTTTGGTCTCCGTTCTACAGAAGAAGCTGAGTCTCAAAGAAGGGAGCCTTCTGCAACACCTCACCCACTTCTCATACCTGACCCTGTGCAGCATTGTTTTCATTGGAAGTAGAGGATCCAAAATGTTTTTAGATCTTTGCTATTTTAGGCAGGAAAGAATTTAGCACAGTGAATTGGTGCTTGGGAAATCATCAGAAAACTGGAGGAGTGGGTATTAGGCTGGGCCCCCAGGAAAGATTCCCTGCTCAGAGGGAGGAGCTGCCCCCTCAGACACAACTGAATACGAGGACACTCTGGAGCAGCTGTGACCCGAGTATCAGGAAACTGCTGCCCCCGCAAGTCCCCCCCAGCCCCACAAGTGCCCCCCAGCTCCCACAAAACAGGTCAATGGACACTGCCTCTGTCACAACTGCCTGTGCACAGCCTGGATTCTGCTGCAGAAAACCTCCACATCTCTGCAAACATGATCACCAGCAGCAAACAGCCCAAACTGCAGGAAGATGCCTCTGCCCTACTTCTGCCTTCAAAATATTGTGCAAGTGCATCCAATCGGTAGAAACGAATTCATATCCAGAAACCTAGTTGCAAAGGAGTTTGGGCAATTTCAGACTTTCGTCTAGGAGTGAGATCTTGCCAATGTACCTCATGTGCCTGGTATTGATAAAAATGGGACCCGGCTGGTGGGGCTCAGTGGTTGAGCATCAACCCATGAATCAGGAGGTCACGATCTGATTCCTAGTCAGGTTTCGGGCTAGATCCTCAGTAGGGGGCGTACAGGAGGCAGGTGATCAATGATTCTCATCACTGATGTTTCTATCTCTCTCTCCCTCTCCCTTCCTCTGAAATCAATAAATATTTTTTTGAAAAATGGGGTCATGCTGTATATATGTGTTATAACGAATTTTTCACTTCATAGCTCACTAATGTCCTTCCTGTTAAAACCATACTTACAGAACATTTTTTATCATTCATTTTAATAGATCTCAGAGAGAAGAAGGGAGAGAGAGAAAGAAACATTATTCCGTTGTTTCCTGCACTCACTGGACTGGGTATTGAATCTGCAACCTGGGCATGTGCCCTGACTGGCAATCAATCCACCGCTTTCTGGTGTATGGGACGATGCTATGCTAGTACCCTGACCCCAAATTCTAGCTTCCAGAACTGTGAGAGAAATACATTTCTGTTGTTTAAGCCACACAAATTTGTGATATTTTGTTATGGCTAAGCTAATCCTATAAAATAAAAGTCCAGCGACCAAATAGCAGATGACCGGAATGACTGGAACAATTGAGGCCCCTTGCCCTGGCTGGCCCCACCCCTGATCGGCCCCCATTGGGGTGGGCCGATTGGACCCCACCAGTGCACGAATTCATGCACCAGGCCTCTAGTGTAATTATATGTTATTTGCCGGCCCTGGCCAGTGTGGCTAAGTTGGTCGGAGCTTTGTACAGAGCACCTGAAGGTCATGAGTTTGATTCCCAGTATGGGCACATGCCTGGGTTATGAGTTCCACCCCCGATTGGGGTGAGTATGGGAGGCAACTGATCAATGTATCTCTCTCTCTCCCCCTTCCTCCATCTCGAAAAATCAATAAAAAATAAAATCCTGGGCTGATACTTACACTGAACAGCAAATGAAGCCAAAAGGGCAGCAGTATTATAAGGACAGGGCAATCTAATAAAACAAAAGAGAAAATACATAGCCCAAAGTTACACACAATGATTTCAAAAGCACGATAATTTATAATATACTAGTTACACTTGAAATTTCCATTATGTTGACTTATATTTTAACTATTAAGTAATGAACTTATTTGATGAAAGGAATTAATGTTATATGTAATCTTTTTTCAATAGTTTGCAAAGGTTTTGAATTTCTTAATATAGAACTAAGAGTATTCTTAAACTTATTACTAAAAATGTATAATAGCCCACCTTCCAGTAAGAATGTCTTGTTTAATTTGCAAAAAATACTGGTACCTTAAAAAAAAAAAGATAGTTAGCATTTATTGGAATTATAGCATTTAGATATTAAAAACTATATACTTATATTAACAAATAAAAATTTAAATATTTATGTATTTACTTCAATAATGTACATAACACAAGATATTTTAAAAATAAGCTTTCAGAAATTCATGAATCCAAGTTTTAAAATTGTTTGATAAATGAAATTTTGTACTGCAACTGTATTGTTTCCACTAGATCCATTATAAAACTCCTAACGCTTGTTAAGAGTTACATGACCTAGGGAGAAGATTAGAGAGAAATACTCTAAGGATTGGTGTATGCAGAAAGTATGCTGGGAAGCACAGCAGACATAGGAGAGCTGACAGTAACAATGCACTAGAGACCAGTAGAAGAAAATCATTCTTTCTGCTGAGATGGGAAGCCAACTTCAAGAACAGGCCTGTGTGCTGATTATCTTATGGCAGCAAGAAGCTACTGACTGCAGAAAAGCACCTTTCCCTCTTCATATGAGTTAAGAAACCTCTCTTTGGTTAAATAAAAACAAAAACCCCACATAAGTTCCTTTACCTACAACTGATCTAATATTAGAATTGCCAAGTACCCAATTTCCTTAAAAAAATAATAATAATAAGTATCCTATAACAAGAATACTAGGGTTGCTTACAAGATGGCACTGCTAGTGGGTGAAGTCATTCCTGCACAGATGTATCAATGCTTGGGCAAAACCACCTGTGCTGTATAATATTGGTAGAAGACCAAAATTTGTGGCTTTAAATGTTTAAATAAGGAATTTACAGACTTTTACTTCACCCCACTAAAAAGAGGATACATACTCCAAGAGTTAAAAATCATTAAAAATTTTGTTTGATTAAAGTCATTAAAGAGTTCCACGACCATTCAAATTACCAAAGAATGTAATTAAGGTTTCAGAAAATTAGGTATTGATTGTAATTTTTTTTTAAAAGAGCTGATACAAATATCTTGGCTTCATCCTATATAATAAAAGCCTACGTAGCGTCACGTGCAATGTCATCACAAGATGGCCGGCAGGCGAGGGCAGTTGGGGATGATCGGGCTGGCAGGGGAGGGCAGTTGGGGGCGATCGGGCAGAGAGGGGAGGGAAGTTGGGGGTGATCAGGCTTGCAGGGGAGCAGTTAGGCGTCAATCAGGCCAACAGGGGAGCAGTTAGTGGGCAATCAGGCAGGCGAGTGGTTAGGAGCCAGCAGTCCCAGATTGTGAGAGGAATGTCCACTGTTGGTTTAGGCCCACAGGGATCGGGCTTAAACCAACAGGTGGACATCCCCCAAAGGGTCCCAGATTGGAGAGGGTGAAGGCCAGGCTGAGGGACCACCCTCCACGCACAAATTTCATGCACCGGGCCTCTAGAATATTAATAAATTCTCTGAGGCTTAATACATAATATTATAAATATTATTGCTTACTCAATCTAAGACAACATATTTCTATCCAGCCATCTTAGTTTCATAATTAAAAGTTAAAGGTCCCTGGTCTGGCCGGTTGCTCAGTGCTTAGAATGTCAACCCTTGGTTTAATTCTTGGTCAAGGGCAATACCTCAGTTGCAGGTTTGATCACCTAATTGGGGCAAGAGCGGGAGGTAACCAATCGATGCTTTCCTCCCTCTCCTTTTTTTCCCCTCCCTCTCATCACCCCCTTCCACATTTTCTAAAAATTCAATGGGAAACATCCTTAGATGAGGATAAAAAAAAAAAAAGTTAAAGGTTTCTGGTGGAAACAATCTTATAGTTAGGATTGAAAGATCATGTATATCCTTGACATAATATTCTGAATACTACACAAATAATACCTATGTGCTTGCTGAATTTTATTTACGTACTAATCATTAAAGACTGACAGAATAGAAACCAGAATAAGCTAAATCAAAACTGTAAGTCCTAAAGTAAGCCAGCCTATAATCTTTGGCAAGTTACTTAAAATTTGGCTGGGTCTTGTTTCTCTATTTGTAAAAAGAAAGTAGAATCACAGCCTAGTATATGTACCTCAGGGGCCCTAAACAGAAAATACAAGCCTAATTTTTTTTTTTAATATATTTTATTGATTTTTTACAGAGAGAAAGGGAGAGGGATAGAGAGTTAGAAACATCGATGAGAGAGAAACATCGACCAGCTGCCTCCTGCACATCTCCTACTGGGGATGTGCCCGCAACCAACGTACATGCCCTTGACCGGAATCGAACCCGGGACCTTTCAGTCCGCAGGCCGACGCTCTATCCACTGAGCCAAACCGGTTTCGGCTACAAGCCTAATTTTGAAAGACAATCAAGACCTTTAAAACAGATTAATAATGACTGAGGTAAGTACAGATAATCACCTTTACAAGCTGTAAAAATAACGAAACTTTTCTAATGCAGACAATAATGAATACCATGAATTAAACACTTATCATGCTCTAAAAAGGTATGAAAAGTGATGTCATTTGTATTCTCTCAACTCCTGGGAAAACTCCAATTCCAATGATGCCAGCAAAAGTAAATTATGTTTCATTTGGAAGCTCTGTAAGTCCATTCTTTTTTTTTTAACCACTAACCTAAAATGGAATCCCAAGGTAAGGAGGTATAGCTGATTTCCTGTTTTGTGGGGCTTATACTAGTCCAGTGATGGCAAACCTATGACACGCGTGTCAGAGGTGACACGCAAACTCATTTTTTGGTTGATTTTTTTTTTGTTAAATGGCATTTAAATATATAAAATAAATATCAAAAATATAAGTCTTTGTTTTACTATGGTTGCAAATATCAACAAATTTCTATATGTGACATGGCACCAGAATTAAGTTAGGGTTTTTCAAAATGCTGACACACCGAGCTCAAAAGGTTCGCCATCACTGTAGTAGTCCTTACAATTAGCAACTGTGGCCCCCAGGGTGTCTTATTACTAATCCAGACCATCACATTAAAGCTACCTAAGCACTAAAGTTTTAAAGGAGTATTTCTTAAACCTAGTGGAATATTTGAGTCACCTGGGAAGCTTGTAATGCTTATGCACAGGTCCCATCTGAGACCTATTAAATCAGAGTACCCAGGGGGTGTGGCCAAAGCAAGAGCTACCCTAAGTGATTCTAATTTGTAATCAGTGTAGAGATTCACTGATGCACAATGTACACTACGGTAATAAAGTAAAAACTAGCCACATACCCCAATTACCAAATAGTGCCAGTTATAACATTACAAATCCATTATAAAGGATTTTTGAAATAATGTATTATTTCTAGTGAAAACAAAGAATTTTCTGGAATGATGGACTGAGTAAATACTTCGATTACTATAAAATTTGATTTTACTTTCTTCTACTTCAGGAATATGTTTTGATTTAATTATCAGTGAGACACATTTATTCCTTGATTATATCTTCAAAAAAGCTATACAAAAATCAACACATTCAAGTTTTGTTAAGAAAGTCAAAGACAGTTTTTTGAGTAAATTATGAATATAGCTATAATTGACAATATTTTAATTGCTTATGCTAACAAACTCAATAAACATTAAATATATTAGAAATCCAATTTAAATTTATTGATCTTTTAATTACAAATATTTATTACACATTTAAAAATCTGATTACTAAAACATACAGGATGTTCTGAAAAATTGCATACATATTTTGAATAATTATTAATTTCAATGGGTTAAATCTGAAGAGAAAGTGTGGGAACTCTAACCAGAGTACACCAGATGTTCAAGGCCAATTTGCCATACACTTGTGCAAAGGCAATGACACAGCAGTTTTACTGTACACACTGCGTAGGCATACTTTTCTATAACCCAAATATTGATGTCACTATTTGGCAAGAAGCCTCTTTTGTCTGAGTTCGCATAAAGATGTGTTACTGACCAGCTGGTGCATGGCTGCTTTGGCCACTTTGAAGAACTGTTTTGTCTGATGGCTCCTTGTTAGCAATGGCTACTTGGGTCTACAATAAAGTCTCTCCTATATGCCTACCATGTGTCTTGTCTTCTCCGTTTAATACCTTGTGTACAAGGAACTGTGCTCCTCAAGAAGGATCAAGGAGGAACTTGCTTCCACAGAAAGAAACATCAACTGAGCTACCAGCTGTTAAAGTGTATATACATTATTTGGGCACACCTTGTATTATAGAATACTTTGTTACTTGATTTCAAGTTATATGTACCAGGGAACAATAAAATGCATTTAAAAATACTTTACAAATCACAATTTTCATTAACTCAGTGTAGCTTCCTTGAAGTTCATCCAAGAATAGGTTTTACTATACTAAAAATCTTGTTATTTTAATTAACAACAACAAAATCTAAGAGCAACAGTATTAAACTAAAGGGTATTCATATAACACAATTTTGCTTTTCAAGATAAATTAACTTGGATACTATTAGTTTGAACTACCTAATCCAGAGCCTATATTCTTGAATTCTCCTGTTATAAAAAAGGTAACCTACTGTCCCCACTCCCCCAACAACAAACACATAGAAAAGGACTCTAAAGGATGTGAATCTAATTTTTCTTACTTTATCTACTGAAAACTCTACTTCAGAAACACCTGAGGATTGGCAGGGAAATTTCTTTAATATATTCTTTTGTTGTTCTACTTCACCTTAGTATTCTAAAGGATAACCAATACATTAATATCTACAGGTAACTTTAGGTACAGATTTTAAATTTGGCACCTAACTTTTAGAATAATTGTGAATATAGTCCTGACCTATATTCTTATATCTTTTATGGAAGGTATAATATGTTAATATTTATTCTGTCTTATTTTGCTAACCCTATCTAATAAAGGGCAATATGGAAATTAACCGTCACTCCATCACAAAGATGGCGGCACCCATAGCCACAAGATGGCAGTGCACAGTCCTCAGCCCGCTGGAGTCCCCCAGTCCTGGGGGGGCGGCCGCTGAGAGTGGGCAGCATGAGCGGCCTGGTGGAATGCTTTTTTGCCGGGGGCGATGATGCTTGCATCATCGCCCCGGCGACAAGGCAAGCATTCTGCGCCCAGCTGCAGATGGGCCTCTGGGCAGCAGGCACGGAGCGGCCAGGCCCCGCAGAGAGCTACTGGCACACAAATTCATGCGCAGGGCTACTAGTGAGTTACTAATTATCTTTCAAGCAACACACATGGTTATCCTTCAGGTTACTTAAAGATTTTTTAAATTGATTTTTTAGAGAGAGAGGAAGGGAAAGAAAGGGAGAAACATCAATGTGAGAGTGGAACATTGATTGGCTGCCTCCTTTACACCCTCTTACCAAGGATCGAGTCTGCAACCCAACCATGTGGGCTGACCGGAAATGGAACTGGCAACCTTTCAATGCACAGGACCATACCCAACCAACCGAGCCACACTGGCCAGGGTTCTTAAGGTTATTTTAATAATGACAGTTACCACACTGTGATTATTCCTCACTATTTATACCTTAAACAGTTATCTAACATTAATATACTATCAAAATACTCATCTGGGCCATTCTTGTATTTTCAATCTGCAGTTGGGAATCAGCTAATATGGAGGACAACTTAAGTTATTCACAGATTTTGACTGCAAAGGTGGTCGATGTGCCTAACCTCCATGTTTTTCAAGGGTCAAAATATTTTTATAGGGGGAAAAGCAGGCACAATTCTCACTATATAGCACCGCTTTAAAATGAAGCAGTATCTGATTACTTCAATTAGTTACAGCAAAGCAGCTTAACCAGTTTTCACTGGAAAATCTTAACATTTATGTAGCTCAGGAGGCTTCTTGTGGCTGGATGGGGTGGCCCTGGGGTTCCAATCTCCTAAAGAAGTGGTCCGCAAACTGAGGCTCGCGAGCCACATGCGGCTCTTTAGCCCCTTGAGTGTGGCTCTTTCACAAAATACCACGTGCGGGCACGCATGTACAGTGCGATTGAAACTTCGTGGCCCATGCGCAGAAGTCGGTATTTTGTGGAAGAGCCACACTCAAGGGGCCAAAGAGCCGCATGTGGCTTGCGAACCACAGTTTGCCGACCACTGTCCTAAAGCATTACCTGTCATACAGGAGGGAAGTAAACTGTTTTCTTGAAACATCTATGACCTATTCTGTGTGCTGCTAGTAAACTCAGAATTATGGCATGGCAATCTATTTTTGCCTAATTAATTTCATAATTTTATAATAGTTTTGAAAATATTTTTAAGAAAAATATGCTCCATAAACTCACCTTGTATATTCTTCTTGTAACTTGTTGGGGTCACTTACAAAAAATTTGACTCTGAAGTTCAAACTGTAAGGAGATCCTCCTAGAATTAATAAAAGCAGTTCTAATTAATCAGATTATATTAATCCTGCATCTTTATAAAGTACACTTACAAAACATGAAGTAAATATATATGCTCACTCTTTAACTGCTTCCTTATTGGTTTGTTTGGATCCAGCCACCTCTGAAAAATAAATAAGATTGATTTCATTTTTCCTTGAGGAACTAATACACTGATTCATGGAAATCTGTTCTATTTAAAGATTAATACTAAAAACTGAATTTTTGAAAACGCCTGGTAGGGAAAAAGTCATTAATTTGCAGATTTTCATATCATATATAACAAAATTACACTAGAAAGTACTGAATATATATATGTGGTAGCTTTAAGATTTTTATTTTAATTTTACATCAAATTATACAGTGTGCAATAACCTCTATTCCAAAAGTAAAAATGTTTAATAATCACTGCAATCTAATGTGAATTCTGTTAATTTAACTGTATTATGTAACAGTCTGGAACATTTAAAAAATTAAGAAAAATTTTGTAACTTCTACTCCATTCCTTAAAAAATAAATTACACCTCCTCCCTCCACCCCCACCCCCCCAAAAAAAAACCCACACTAATTTTGAAAAGGATGATGTTTAGTTTTGGGAAGGATTGCCTTTTGTGTATGAGAATTTTAAGTAGTCTCAATACTTCTGAATGCCAGTTAAGATCTATTTTAGAAAAATGAACTGAACTCAGAAAATACAGTGGGGCCTTGACTTACGAGTATCCCAACTAATGAGTTTTTTGAGATACCAGCTGTCTCTCGGCCGATTTTTTGCATTGAGTTGATAGAGTAATTTGAGTTAACGAGCTCCTTAACGAGCTCGGTCTCGGAACGAATTAAACTTGTAAGTCAAGGCCCCACTGTATCTGAACTGCCAACAAGTTTCAATTAAAAAAAATTAAAGAACCCAAAATGAGGTTATAGATGTGGCAGTATTTTCAAAGCACTACACAAATATAAGCTTATGTATAATTATTTATAATCCTTACATCCCATACTTGATTCCATGAAGAGTACTTAAATAGATTTTAGTAACATTTGCCTGGGATAATCTGTATCTTTTCTTTTCACTATCCCTAACACCCAACAAATAAAATCCAGCTGATTCTACCTTTTTTTTTAAAAATATTTTTTATTGATTTCAGAGAGGAAGGGAGAGGGAGAGAGGGATAAAAACATCAATAATGAGAGAGAATCATTGATCAGCTGCCCGAAACCCAGGCAGGTAACTCTAACAGGAAATCGAACCCTGACCTCCTGGTTCATAGGTCAATGCTCAACCACTGAGCCATGCTGGGCTGACTCTATCTTTAAACCATACCTAGAATTTAAGAATTCTTCTCCATCTAGTCTGCCACCATCCTTATTTCTGGTATGGCTCTGGCCACAGCCTCTTAATTACTGTCCCTGTTTCTTTTCTTACCATCTTCTTCATCCTCCATCTAGAAGCCAAAGTAGTCTTCTCAAGCATAATGTTACCCCTTTGCTTAATATTCTTGATAATTTCTCAATGCAAGGTCCAAAGCCCTTAGCATTGTCTCTTTACCTCTTCTACCCCAATTTACTAAGCTCCAGCCATAATGCCTCCTTTCTGCTACTCAAAGATGCCATCTTACAGCTTCCAATTCCATGTTTCCTTAATGCACAGAATGTCCTTCTCCAGATTCCCCATGGCTGACTCCTTTCAACTGTGTCTGTGCCTAAATGCTACCTCCTCAGAAAGGTCTTCACTGACCATCCTATCAAAAGTATGTCACAAAGCTCCTATTTACTTATTTTCCAAAAACAGGCAAGGAACATTAAATTCTCTCATAATGCTTTTTTAAAAAATCCTCACAGAGAATACATTTTTAATAATTTTTAGAGAGAAGGGAGGGAGAGAGAGAGAAACATCAATGTGAGAGAGAAACATTGATCATTTGTCTCCCCCATGAGCCATGATCAGAGATTGCACACGCAACCTGGGTATATGCCTGCTACCTTTTGGTGTACGGGACAATGCTCCAACCAACCAAGCCACACTGGCCAGGACACACATCTATGTGTTAATCTACTGATTTTGTTTTTCACATGTTAGAGAAAAAAGTAATAAATTACTTTCATTTTAATACTTGTCTAAAATCAAAATTTGGGATCAATGATTGTATTCAAACCCTCCTTCCTCATTTCATTCCCCTCAAAAATATTCTAATATCAGATATACAAACACATTTACAAATAGATGTTTTAAGCTGACACAGCTTAGAAGGAGTACAATGATAAGCACCAGAAAACTGAAGAGACCTCATCAATGATGTCATTGAGATAGGACTTAGGATTTTGGCTTGAAAGAAGATGGAGCAATGCTATAATGGGCACTATTACACAGTGAAGATAGTGCTCATAATAAAAACACACCATTATGTCGAAAGAAAAACAACGTAGGGAAAAAAGATAACATATAAAACTGTTCTACAAATCAATAAGAAAAAAAACCAACACTAATAAAAAAACAGACAATAGGTAAGAATGGAAAGATTATGGGAAAGGAAATATAAACGACTTTTCAGTACATGAAAACATACTCAATCTTGATTATAATTAGAGAAATATAATAGTCTACATTAGGTTATCATTTTTCAATAGTAATACTGGCAAAGATTAAAACTTTTAATGACAAACCACAATGGCAAGAATGTGAGGAAAACAGCACTCATACATAGCTTCTGAGAATATAAATTATACCACCTCAATGTAGGACAACTTGGCAATATTTATCAAACTATAAAATGCATATCACTATAGACCAAGTATTGTTTTATACAGCATCTTGATATATTTCACACAATATAAAATTCACTATTTTAAAGTGTACACTTCAGTGCATTTTATTACGTTGTACAACCATCAACACTAAATGTCAGAATATGTGCATCATCCCCAAAATAAATCCCATTTCTATTAGCAGTCAGTCCCAATACTGCACTACCAACAGGCTCTAGCAAGTACTAATCTACTTACTGTCTCTATAAATTTGCCTGCTTGGGACATTCATATGAATACAAACATACCATAGGTGATCTTTTTTTTTCACTTTTACAGTAGGCAACCCCCTTAATCCATGGGGGATAAGTTCCAAGATCACACTGGATGCCTGAATCTATAGATAATACTGAGCCTCCTACATGTACTATGTTCTTTCCTATATATATATCCTATATAATAAAACCCAAATATGCAAATTGACCAAACAGCAACCAGTCGCTATGACTTGCACTGACCACCAGGGGGCAGACTCTCAACACAGAAGCTGCCCCCTGGTGGTCAGTGCGCTCCCAAAGAGGGAGCGCTGTGCAGCCAGAATCCGGGCTCACGGCTGGCAAGAGCAGCGGTGATGGTGGGAGCCTCTTCCGCCTCCGCAGCAGGTGGACATCCCCAGAGGGGTCCCAAACTGCGAGAGGGCGCAGGCCAGGCTTAGGGATCTACCAACCCCATGTGCACGAATTTCATGCACCAGGCCTCTAGTCTATAATAAAGTCTATTTATTTTTTTGTTAATCCTCACCCAAGGATTTTTTCCCATTGATTTTAGAGAGAGTGAAAGGGAGGGATGGAGATAGAGGGAGAGAGACATTAATGTGGCAGACACACATCAATCGGTTGCCTCCCACATGCAACCCGATCAGGGCCAGGGATTGAACCTGCAACCCAGGTACATGCCCTTGACCAGGAATATAACACGAGAGCCTTTGGTGCACGGCTGACACTATCCACTGAGACATGCCGGCCAGGGCAATGATAAAGTTTAATTGGTAAATTATGCACAGTAAGAAAGTACTAATAATAATAAAATAAAACAATTAAAACAATATTCTGTAATGAAAGTTATGTGAATGTAATCTCTCAAAAAATCTTATTGTATAGTACTCACCCTTTTTCTGGTGATCATGTGAGATAATTCAATGCCTACATGTTGAGATAAAGTGAGGTGAATGATATAGGCATTGTGATGTAAAATTAGGCTACTTCTGACCTTCTGATGATGTATGAGGAGGATTCCCCAACTTCAGGTGATCCTGAATAATCAAGCCATGAGGAACTACTAAGGACTAACAAGTGGGTAATGTATACAGCATGGATATGCTGTACAAAAGCATGACTCATGTTCTGGGTGAGATGGTATGAGATTTCATCATGCAACTGAGAATGGTGAGCAACTTAAAACTTATGAATTGTTTATTTCTACAATTTTCCATTTAGTATTTTAAAACCGCAGGGAACTGAAATCATTAAAAGCAAAACCACGAATAAGGAGGCACTACTGTATAGTTTTTAAAGTTCATCCATGTTGTAGCATGTTACAGTACTTTTATAGCGGCATTGGGTTGTTTCTATCTTTTGGCTATCATAATAATACTGCTATGGCCCTAACCAGTTTGGCTCAGTGGATAGAGCGTCAGCCTGCGGACCGAAGGGTCCCAGGTTCGATTCCAGTCAAGGGCATGTACCTTGGTTATGGGCACATCCCCAGTAGGGGGTGTGCAGGAGGCAGCTGATCGATGTTTCTCTCTCATTGATGTTTCTAACTCTCTATCCCTCTCCCTTCCTCTCTGTAAAAATAAATAAATAAATAAATAAATAAATAAATAAATAAATTAAAAATAACAATATACTGCTACGAACATTTGTATACAAGTTTTTCTATAAATACATGTTTCAATTCTCTCAGGAATATGCCTAGGAATAGTATTGTTTGGTAAATGGTAACACTACATTTAAATTTTGAATTAAGTTTATTTCCAGAATGGCTACAGCTTTTAAAATTCCCACCATCTATGTATGAGGATTTCAATTTCTTTGCATCCTCATCAATACTTGTTCTTGTCTTTTTAATTACAGCCCTCCTACTAGGTGTAAAGTAATACAGAATTCCTTTTTATTGCTGAATAATATTCCACTGTATAAATATACACTTTTGGTTCATCCATTCATTATTTAATGAATATTTGCACTGACCCCACATTTTAGCTACTATGAATAATGCAATGAACATCTCAGTACTAATTTTTGTGTGTGGACATGTTCTCAATTCTCTTGGAAACATCTAGGAGTGAAATTGCTTATAGTAACTCTGTTGCATCTTGAAAAC